ACTTATTCAAGGAAGTCAAAGCAACTGCAGTTGACGAGCAAAAAGGTCTAATATTTGTACTGGTTTAGCAATTTATGAATATGTTAAGAAACCAGTGAGTCAGGTATTACACCAAGTGAACTTCCAGGTAGCGAATTCAACACTCTAATATGCAAACACAGAAAGTCCTCATGACAATCGGTTTACACTTATTCAACTCCTCTTATATATTGACTAGTATTCACTACCATGATTGTGACAACTCATCGCTTGTGTTATTATCTTCTTTCATGAAAAAAAAGTATATAGATCCGGTGGAACATATATGTTCCACTGGGAATAAAAAAGCCCTATAGGGCTTCAAGCTACAGGCTTGAAGTTTCGGTAACAGTGGTATTTATTCTTACGGGATGGGGTTGCTGGCTTCATGCCAAACCTCCTCTCTCTACCAGTCTTATTACTGGCTTGGTGGGAGGCAAAGGAGTGTGTCGATGGGGGATCGAACCCCGAACTACCTGCGTGATCAGCGAGTATTCTACCGCTGTGCCACCGACGCTTACAGTTATATGTTGACACTCAGTAATTCAGAGGTGACAGTGATGAACTACAAAGTGATGCTATTTCTTAGCTGCTTCATTCTCTAGCTTTACTAATCCTATTTTTACACCAGCTAACAATAGTTAAGTATGATTAACTTGATACAATGTTGGCTGTCAAAAGTTCCTAATTCCACTGGTTGATTTGCTCTTTTCAGAGTTTATAACCATCAGAAACCTGCTTGGGTATTTTTTACGAAGTGATCGAATTTATGGAGGAGTCGCGTCTGAAAGATATCGTAGTGCTGGCTGAGGATTCGAATGCACATGTCGGACGTCTATGCTCAGATCCAGAGTCATCTGGGTAGTCAGTGAACTTTACATGGTAGCAGGTCAGATAATGAGGACTGTCTTCTGCAGCTTTGCGCAGATCACAACCTATCTCTGGCCAGCACCAACTTCCGGTACAGCCATCGCCGTACGACTACCTACCTGACGTCCTCCCTCTGTCAGTCAAACCTGGATCCAGACTGATTATATTGCTATCAGTTCCGATAGTATGGATGCAACAGGACTGCTGCTTCTTCTGGAGCAAATGCCTGAACTCCGATCATGCTTTAGTGTATGCCAGATTCATCTTGCGACTTGTTGGTGTTCATAAACAGCATCCCTTACAGGATGTTGTGAGTGAACTAGTCGCACCGGCTATTCCTCCGAAGTACCAGACTGAGTTAAACTCAAGGCTAGCTAGCATCTCTACAAATAGCTCAAGTGAACATTGGATATATATGGAAGACGTTATGAAAACGGCGAGCAAGGCTGCTTGCGGCTTAAACCAATGCTCCTCTAAAAACTACTAGGTTTCTGAGAATTCCTTGCAACTTCTGGATGCGCACCTCTCCAACACTGTTTACATGACGACCATGAGGCATGGTCGCGGAATCTGTAGCTGCATCTGGCAATGGCAGGAAACCATTCCAGCTCGTTCAAGCCACCAGCAACAAGAAGCATCATGTCAGAGAGACGATATTTGAGGCAGACGACACGCTAATTACCAACCTGATAAGACGTCTCGAACGCTAGGCACAGCACTTCAAGGGGTGATTTAGCTTCCATTATGGATAAAATTTATTTTGATAAAGTCTCACAGAGTTGCACAGTAATATTTGCTGGTGATGGTTCGAGCACAATTTACTGGCACTCATAATCATATATTTTATCCACAATGGAATTATACTCTACCACAATGCCCAAGTTTTATTCTTACATCAGGGCGGTTAAGCTGGCCAACACCACCACTATTAACTACAGTGTTCCATGGTTAGTTTACACCAACCCACCAAACAAAGCGAAAGTGCGAAAGGAATTCCAGTTGGTGAAACGCTTTAGAGCATACTACCCAGACAATACATCTGCGTTTGTTTTTAAAGATGGTGGCGAGATTCCTGTCCGGAAGTTGACTAGTGTTCACGAAAGTATGGGAAATTTCGTCCCACATTGAAAAGGGCTTACGTAATAAGTGGGCCAGTTATAGGGGTATTGATTTGCTACAGTTGGTGTCTAAAATACTGACTGCTGTCTTACGTTGCAGGCTGTGCAAAACAGGCGAGGAACTGATTTGCCAAGAGCAGGCTGGGTTTCGTTCATGCAGTGGATGCATTGGTCATGTGTTCCCCCTTCGTCAGTTGCTAAAACACCGTCATACGTACTGCAGGTCAATAATCGTTGTGTTTCTTGATATTAGATATGTCTATGGTTCTTTGACAGAACTGCTCTCCGGAACTGTCTGTTACAGAAAGGTGTTACTGAGACATTTTTTAACATCCTCAAAGCCCTATAAAGAAGCATTTTAGCTGAAGTGAAGGTATACAACCAACTATCACCACTGTCCTCAACTAACAATGAGGTTAGACAGGCCTGTCCAATGCCATCATTTCTGTAAAGTACCGCTGCAAGCTTGGCTGGAGCCTGTACCTATACACACTCTTGCAACTGAACCTCTTGGAGTTATCGATAAGTTCATGTACCTAAGTAGTTGCTTTAAGGTGCGGCCGACGAAATTTTTAGCAATGCAGTGAAATCTAGGGTGGTGTACGTCAATTTGTGCCACCTCTGGTGCCGTCACATAGCTAGCCTGGCTGTCATAGTTTAGGTTTACAATGCTTCGGTGCTCTAAGTTGTACTGTACGCTTGCCAAACTTGACCTCTTCGATATGAGGGTGTGCGGCGACTCTGCCTATTCGATTATCACTGACTCTGTAGAATTGTTTTCACTCGATGGCATCATCGTGTAAGTAACTCTGAAGTCTGGCAACATGTACTTGGAGGTGGTGGAAGTGATCATTTATTGGTCGTAGTCATCTGAAAACACCAGCTTACACGGCTCAGACATGTGTTACGAATATCGTCCCAGGGGACACCTGTAGCTGTTCGACAGTCTTGGTACTGGATGGAAAAAGCGGGGAAGTGGCGCTGTGGGATGCAGGATATTTCTGTTAAGTTAGCATCAGTTGGTACATCACCACTCCCTAGTTAAGATCCAAGAGACAGTTGGAATCGGTGGTCAGAAACGTTGTCAGATATAGCCAAGAATTGCGATCAGTGGCGAACATGCTGCAAATTCCTTCTTTCTGAAAGTAGCATGCAGTGATGAGTGTTGCATCATCTTGACGAGTATGCTCGCTTTCTTTCTGGATGATATCCCTCATTCATTTTATCCCTATCTTTTGATATCCATAGTGTCCCACGTTTTTGTTTCAAATAACTGAAAATACATATACCCTGTCAAGAAATATGAAAAGAGTTTGTCACATATGTCCCAGAATCTGTTGAAGAGTGAAGACAAAGTCAAACTGACTTCATCTGGGCCTCAAGTCAGCCTACTTTTCAAAGTTTTGTTTCTCACGAACACCACTCAATCTATGCAGGATTAATAAACCTAGAATTGTAGATACTATGTTAACCAAGCTAATCCCCCCCCTCCCACGATTAACACAGGAAGACTTGTCTCCCGTTTTATAAACTTGAATATCCAATCATTTGTACAGGTCCAACGGGATTATTTCGGGTTCCAAAATATGACTCAATGTCTTAGTTAACCCAGTCGACAGCTCATCACCACCACCCTTAATCATACCTCCGGAATCATTCCACCAGGTCTGGTTTCACTCTAGACTACGGACACCTTTTGCTATACTCAGCTACAGTTGCAAGACTGATGTTTACATCCCACTGGATTTTAGACAGATTTACAGTAGCTATAAGCCAGCTAGATTACTCTTCAGAGTGCTATCCTTGACACATCCCAGTCTTCTATTGTGACAGTTGATTTGTGTTTTACAATCACTACTCATAATTGTTTTGGTAATACACCTACCACCGATGCCTTTTCAATTTTTTCCGCTCTTGTCACCCATCACTGTCTAAGGTAATTCGTTGGGGAGCCTTATGGGTGTTTAATCTATGTTGAATGAATGCCGAATTGCAGAAAAATTGTGAAATCACAAGGCATTCAGTAAACTATAGTCATTCTATTTGTCAATAATTAGCATAATGGCTTTACTAATTAATCCCGGTGTCCTGATTCTCACTGAAGAAGAACAACAACCACGATCTAGGATGTCAAGACTTCGAAAAAAGTAATACGCAAGAGTCTCAGGCAAGAGATTCGGCAGCTTACGCCCTTTTTTTGCTTTCACACATACCAGTAGTAGAAGTATTGATGCAATAAATTCGAATAGCACATCACATATCAGTGAGACTGATAACGCATATAAAGAGAAACTGTCTCGAGTTTGCCCGCAGAGAGATATCGATTTGTGATTCATTGAAAACCAGCCAGAGAGTACTGATCAGCTATCTGGTCCTAGTTTGGGACTCATAGGCAGTACGCATGCACCACCAAGGTTCGAACCCAGATCCTCCTGGCTACAAGGGAGGCTCGCAGACCATTCACTTACTGGGAACCCCCAAACTAACTCTTGAAAATTAATCGGATGCCTGCTATAGGACGAAGTTTACTGGAGCGAGTGAAGTGTCCACCCCGTCGGGAGTGAGGACATATACTCGCCCATGACATTCGCGCTAGAAGAAATCACAAATTGGTAGAAGTTAGGATTTATGGGTCATTAAGTTGCGCCTCAGTGGCTGAGCTTGCCATGTAACCGGAAGGTGCTAGGTTTCGACCTCAGTGGGTGCGTAGTGTCCAAACTAGGACTACAGACAGGAACAGCTGGGAAGTACTCGCTGGTTTCCCAATGGTTCTCTAATCGATTTCAGCTCGTGATCAAATCAGTAACCAATCAAATCCCTGCAAACCACCAACTGTTGGCGAAAAAAACTGTCACAAATGATAGCGCCGCAGAAGTAGCCTAAATTTTACTTGAATCGGACTAATTAAACATTTGACTAGATTTTTATAACAATCTCATCAATATTAACCAACTAACTAGCTAACTAACTAAATACATTTACTTTACACCACAGGTTTGGAAGTACAATGAAGGAGAAGTGACACATGTCGGCTTGGGGCATACCTCACCAATTACACGGTTACGTATATCCCCAGATCAGAAACATGTGATCACAGTCAGTGAAGATGGAGCAATTTATATCTGGGAAATGCCTCCTCCTCCGACGGCGACGACGACAACAACAACAACGACGGAGACAACAGCCGTCAGCTAGGCAGAGGCTTCGAAATTTCGCTCTTCATCATCATCGTCACTATCTTCACCACTGAACAGAAAAAAGAAATGTGAAAGCGACACACACACACACATGTAGGAAACAGAGGTATAACACCACGCAAGCTTATTAACAACACAACAACCTCCTCCCACCCGCGTCTCCCTTTTAGTCGATCTTTACATACACGCACACACACACTCACACACCGCGAAACAACTTATAGTTTACTCGATATTTATTCATATTTACGCTTGAAAATCGACAACAACAACACTACCCACCGATAACAGCAACAACAACAACAGCGAATATACGCATACGTATATAATATATGTATTACTTGTGAGTAACGAAAAAACACCATATGATGAATAAATAAATAAACTATATTCACTAAAAAATAGTTGTTTTTTTGAATATTTTTTAATTAATTAATTAATTAATTCACTCACTACTTTTTTGTTTTATTATTAAGTGAAGTAAAAGAATCAAACCAGGGACTAGAAATTAAGCCAGTTTCAAATATGCTATGATTCATTGGTGTATGTGAGTATGTGTCATGGTGTGACGATTTGAGAGATTTGAGCAGAGAGGAGGAGAGAAGGAGAACAATAATAATAGTAGTAGTATAAATATAAATGAGAGAATTCCACACACACACGCGCATTCAGAGAAATAAGTTAGTAAATATGATGGTCCAGCAGAGATTATCAAGACAGAAAGAAAAGACTGATTGATTTGTGAGCGACATCATCATCATCACACTGTTTCCTTGTTCCACTGCTACCTGTACTCAGACGACGGACAGTCCATTTCACTTCCGATGGTTCTTTATGAATGCGATCAATCCATTTGTTGACGAATCATGACTACTGATTGTCTCGTTTGATGTTAACTCAGGCTGAATTCGTTTGGCCAACACTTTACCCAACTCCACACTTTTGAGTTAGCAGCGAGAGAAAAGGAATAAAAAAAACACACAAAAAAATAGAAAGCGGAATTTGAGAAAAAATTTTTCGAATGTTAAAATTACTACTCCGTATAAAAATGAGTGAAACTATGGATGATAGGTGCTGTTATCAGGACTCTATTGTTTCTATTACACACAACTCACGCCAAAAGTTTCCGCGTTTCTACACCATGCGTAGCTAGCTAGACAAACTTTATCCTGAGAGTTCATATGATTTAACCACACCACTGTGATAACAATTTAATTTAGGCTTTTTGCTTGTTTCTAGAATAAGTTTTCCATTAGCTCACTTACAAGATGTGAGGAGTTAACTAAACAACATATTCGAAATATTGTCAAGCACTATCTTGTTCCCTATTGTCCAGTACTCCCAGGTGGTTTTCCAATGGTTCTCTAACCGATGTCAGCTTACGATGAAATCCTGTAACCAATCAAATCAAATCCCTGAAAAGAAACACTTGAATAAGAATTTGATGCTCACTAGTGACCAGCCCTATTCAAGTAGGTAGCAAATTAACCGGCTTATAGTGGAAAGTCGTGACCAGTGAGGACAAATAATCGCCACTGATGACATTGGCTAGTACTCGCACTATGTGGTGAATTGGCAAAAGTTGGAATTCACGGGTTGCCCACTGGATCTACGAGCTCGCTCGCCTTGTGACCAGAAGCTCCTGGGTTCGAACCCTGGCGGTGGTTGTGTACTGATGAAGAGTCCCCAATTAGGATAACAGAAACAGTCATGTAGTACTTCTAGGTTTTTCAATGGTTCTTCAACCGATGTCAGCTCACGATGAAATCCTGTAACAGAGCACTATCTTGTTACATTTCATAAGTAATGTGATTCAATGATTTGAACGCTTGACTTTTAGTCAGTTGACTTCAAGTTCGAATCCGTTCTGACCTAGTTTATCCTAGAAGACTGGGGTAGTACGGTCAGGCCTAACACACGCGCGCACAGATTGCTCATATCTTGGCACATGAAAAATTAAATCTGTGTAAATGAGATCTAAATAAGTGAAAAGTGATAAAGCTACACTCGTCAAATACTCTCTCGTCGATTGATATTAGCTGGTTGGAGGCAATCAATCTGCAGGAAGCTCAGTCGGACCTAGATCTCATGCTATTTGGCAGTCACCAGTTAGCTGGGCGTATCTGCAATCTTGAGGGAACTCGTGCCCCTTCTGAGATTCGAACCTGCATCACCAGTTGAGCGCTGCAGTCAGAGACGTTATGCCTAAGATATTCGGGCTCGCCATTGACCTCCTGCAGGACTCTATTGGATATCTTGATTAGACACACTAGTTAAAAACTAGTGTAACGTGGTTAGTTCCTGGTGTCGGTGCAGACTGAATTCTACGACTAAATTTCGCAACGTGACTACCAACACACTAGGTGGCTCGCAATCACAGTGCACTTTGAATTGTTGATGTTAGATGGGTGGAAACAATCAGTAAGAAACCTTGAGGATGTTGCCTAGTGAGGCAATGAAAGCTTTGCAACTAAACCACCACCCAGCTCAGAGAACACACCTACAACAAAATAAGTGAATGTTTTGAACAATCAATCTTCCTGCTACTCAATATAAAAACACACAAAATGCAACTACTATATTAAGGAAGTTGACTACATCAGTACTGCTGACGGCGAAAATTTGTATCTATGCACTCACTAGTATACTCTACGCACGGATATGAAACACGGTTATCCAAATGCAGAATGGTGTGCTATATATATCATGCTGGTAGAGATGTTTCTCGGTGAGAACATAAAGACAGTGTTAACCACTAATCAGCCTTATATATACCTTTGCAATATTTTGTTACTGTGACCCAGGTATCTAGCCTGCTATATGCTCTGTTCTCGTGACTTTTTGCTGCCAGATATGGCCAGCGGCGATTGGTTAGTGGTGTGACCTAGCTGTTGTACGCAAAGTTTGAAATGGAAATGTTATATGTTATGCACTAAGCCCTGACAATGTTTATCCCCTTCCACATTGTTTAGCTTATCAATCGTAGATTTGTTGCCCCGCATGCACCAGGCTTTGGACTAGATGCCTATATGTTGGCCTAGCGGACTTGCGCCCCAGCAGCCTTGAAATTGAGATAGTTGGTTAGTAGTCACGATAACACAAAACTTTACAAGCATGTTCTTCTATATATCCCTAGTTTCAGTGTACTGTGTATGTTTCTGAAAGCTGGACTCTTATTGGTTGCTACATCTTTAACTTATCTGTGAATTTAGTGTTTTACAGATTCTACCATGGGTTGACATCAGTCAGAGAACGATTGAACTTAGAGTACTGCACAGTTAGGACTCTTCGGCGGTGACTGTGAATGGTCTACGAGCTTGCCTTGTAATCTGAAGGTCCTGGGTACGAACTCTAGTGGGTGTGTACTGTCGAAGAGTCCCCCGAAACTAGTACGAAACAGCTGTACAGCACACGATGGCTGGTTTTCAACGGTTCCCTAAGTGATATCAATCCGCGGTCAAACTTGCAACCAATGAAATCCCTGCAAACAAAAACACTTGATAATTGAGTGTTCTGCACCCATGTCAAAGTACTTTGACTATTGTTCGAGGCAGTAAAACCTCTCTTGTCAACTGCCTGTCTTCTCTTCGCGTATTCGTAGTATGATCAAGGTTGAAACTGAGATTAGGCCAGTTTACACACATGAGCATAAGATCCATTTGGATCGCATTCTGCTAGGAGACGTATTTTATGCCCACACACACACCGCATAAAATCAAAATTTTCGAAATTGCTGAACTTACCCCCATTGATCAAATGAATTGATATTCCATATAATTCCTTGTACAAAGATTTTATGCTCGTACATAGCAATCAATGCACCCAATAATTCAGGTGTTAATTTACTAAATACAATAGAATTCGATGGACGATTTCCTTTGAAACTTTTATGCACTGAAAGTGATTCAAGTTTATCACCAGTAACACCAGCAGCGAATAATTCTTTATGCACCTCCTCTTTAGTTTTACCAGCCATTAAAGCTTCAGTTTGTGCCAAAAAGTTTGATAACAGTATCTAAGGATAAATGGAATATTGAAAAGAAGAAGAAAAAATTATTTTTTTTTAAATATTGCAATGATACTCAGATTTCAGTTACGGAGAGACAATGTTAACCAGTCTAACTGAGTTTCAACATAGACCTGTGCACAGAAGTGCACCAACAGTTCAAGTTGCCGCACACAAATGGGGAGGCCAAAAGACAGAAAAAAGAGATTCAGAAGAACGATGTTCAGCAGAAATGTGAAGGAGAAATAACAGTAACATGGAAAAACAATATATGGAGATCATAGAGTGTGAATGCATCTCTGTGTCATTGAGAATGATTTCCAGCCATGTCGACAATAGCCTCCAGGCATTGGTTTTTAGCACCCCGAGGAACCCAACCAGGAAGTCTACACACGCCTACGTGGCTGACTCAATCTCATTGCTAAACACTTCTTGTATTTATGGAAGGTTATGGTCTGACCATTCTTAACTCTTTTCCAACCTAATTCTGTGTAGGTCATTTAATTGAATTGTAGATTTCCCCGTCGATTGATTGGACCGAAGTGCTCGGTCTCAGGTTGACATGTCGGCTTCTTGTGCACATGCTTCGACAACGTCTGGGCATGTTAATTAGAATTTAATTGGTGGATGGTGACTAGCAGTGGAATCCAGGATGCGCATTTCGTCCCATTTGGGAACATCATCACTCACTGGGGAATGCAGTCACATCCAGATGACGAATCCCAAATAGGATGAAATCCGCATCCTGGATTCCACTGCTAGTCACCAGATGTCTACGATCTCTTTCTCGCGTTAGGTGGTATAATAAGGTAAGTAATGTTGACGTTAGGCGTAGAGTGTTGGGCAAAGAGGGAAAATCACTCGAAGAGGCTATGAAGTTACATAGATTGAGATGGTTAGGTCACGTGCTGCGCATGCCTAGCCATCGTCTCCCCCGACGGGCATTACTAGCTGATATAGGTGCAGGTTGGAAAAGAGTAAGTGGTGGCCAAACAAAAACATGGCATCAATCCATGAAATCCCTGACAGTTAAACTGGGTCAGGTAGGGAGATGCAGACTTCCGGGTTGGGGCTCTCGGGACTCTAAGAATCAATGGCTGGAGACAGTAGGTGACATGGCTCAAAATCGTTGTCAATGGCGCAGATGTATTCAGTCTCCTTAACTTTCATGTTCCTTTCTACCATTACTCATTCTGTTTCACTCTTATACTTATCTAAATTCTATTGATTTTTCTCTCATTTTCCTGTCTACCTTTGTGTGCTATTTGGAACGTGGCAACTCGAACTGCTGCACTTCAGTGCCAAGTTCTATGTTGAATCCAGCAGCAGCAGCAGCACCATCCACCAATTTAATTCTATGTCAATTAATAAAGCTGAAAAAGAAAGGCAAACGCTATCCCTTTGAATTCCACATATTCACAACGGCACAATATGCGCTATTGATATTAATATTGTTTGGAATTCCGCATTGATTGGTATATCAGATCATAGAACGGAGGCTTTTATGACGCCTTGGGGTTACCTTGGTACTTTTTCGTTGACGATGTGGTTAAGAGTTCCACTTCAGCTCGATGTATTACCAGCATCCCCCCGATGTGTGATGATGTTTCCACTGAGTGTCAAAACTACTCAGACTAATGAGACGACAGTCTTAATTTAATAGTTTGGGGAGTATTGAAGGTAGTGTATATGAACAACAACAGTTAATGTATGTTAGCGCAGTATATATATCATAGTACTTGTGTTTTCCCCAATAATAATGAGAAAGCATTGCATTTAGGGAAAATTACGACTGACTGACTGGTTTCTACGTAGAACTTTGCATAGATGTGTACCACCAATGGCCCTTTCCCAACCTGATCAGTCCTCTGTCAGCTAACATTGCCCGTCGAGGAAGGCGATGACTAGGCATACGTAACACATGTCCTAACCATCTCAGTCGATGTAATTTCACAGCCTCATCGATTGATTTTCCCTCCTTACCTAGCACTCGACCGACGCCTAAGCTCAATATTGCTCACCTTATTATACCACTTCACACGGGAGATAGAACGCAGGCACCTGTGATCAAAGACAGCTAGCCAGGCTTTTCATGTCTTCCACTCTCAATGGCCAGGTCTCACAGATAGCCATATGGAGGACGGAGCGGACTGCTGAGCAGTACACACGCCCTTTGGTCATCAGTCAGCCGGATATCACGTCTACGCCAGAGACGTCGTAAACTGGCAGATGCGAAACTAGCCTTCTGTATCCGTACTCAGCTGAGATTTCGTCAGCGATCAACCCGTCGAGGCTGATGCAACTTCCCAAATAAGTGAAGTGGTCAAAACGGTCTACCACTTCACTCCTTATTTCTAAGCTAGGAGTCAATGCAGTCCAGTCCTGTAGCTTCATCTTACATTTGGCGGGAGCGAATCGCATGCCAATGATTCGCAGATTGCAGCTCAATGGGTTCAGAAGACTGCATTTTCTCAACGTCCTTATCTAGGAGGGAGGACTATATCACCTGCACATTCTAAGTCAACGACATTATTCCCTGGTAACAAGTCAATCCCTGAATCGCTGAAGTCACTTAGGGTTAAGTCCATTAGTACATCTATGATGAAATTAAATAGAAAAGTGAACAGTGGGCATCCCTGACGGACACCACTAGTTGTCATCACTTCAGATGACAACTTGCCGCAAGCTCTCACCTGGCTGCATGAGTTCGAGTACAGTGCCTTTATCAGTGTAATGTATTTTCTCGGAATTCCCTTCACAGCCAAACATCGCCATAGTACATCTCGGTCGACGAAATAGAATGCCGCTTTTAGGTCAAACATCCGCAAATGCCATCCTCGAGAAGTTGCCGTTCCCAATCAGCACCTGCCCGCCAAAAATTCATTAGTGTTCGAACTCTAAATCTTCGAGACGGTAGAAAACCAGTTTCCTGAGGAAAGAGACCTGCGCCATATGCTTCATAACCCCAAGTAGACGCCAAAATCTTCCGTCTCGCACAATATGATGTCCTCAAGCGTCGTCTTGGTTGTGCCACTGCTTTTCATGCACTGATGGGCAGAAAGTCACGAGCAACAACATGGAACTTTAATATCTAAGCTATATGCAGCTAAGTCATCAAACACCTCAAAATCCTTCGAAGTCTAGACACCTTTGTATATTAAAGGCTACAGAGCAGGACACAGAAGGTGGATAGAAGGACTGATTAACGGCAGACGTGGTAGGTAGTGTGATGTATAATGTTAAAGTTGGTAGAGAGACGTGGACCACGATAAAAATACAACAGCCAGCGGCTTCCCACTAGATGTACCCCTGGATACATTCGAAAAACTGCTCGCAAAAGAAGTATATCACGTGGTAATTATTCACTGCCTCGATGCTGGTCACAACCAGGTGTAGGAAAAAGACGGTGCGGTTCCACGTTGACCCTGAGAAATACATCTCTTCTAAAGGGGGAGGTGATATGTGGATCGATAGCTTGTCTAGATTAATGGACCAATCAGGACCAATCTCATAAAGTAGCCAGTTAGACAGACAACCACGTTTACGTCATCTACTCTTGAAACTCCACTTCCAGTCATTTATAAAATAGCACAAACAAAAAAAGAAAAATATGATTCATATGGTTATGGCAACTTTATATACCAACCTCATGATGTAATCCTTTCTGTACTGGATTATGCGTATGAATTGGTATCAAAAAGTCACAAGGGATAATTCGAGTGCCTTGATGAATAAGTTGATAGAATGCATGCTGACCATTTGTTCCAGGTTCACCCCACACAATAGGTCCAGTGGCATAATCAACTTCTTTAGAATCTCGTGTAACAAATTTTCCATTCGACTCCATATCACCTTGTTGAAAATATGCAGGAAAACGTGACATATACTGATCATAGGGTAGAATTGCTTGAGTCTCTGCACCATATATATTAATGTAGAGAACGCCTAATACAGCTAGAATGACAGGAATCTGAAATAAAGAAAAAATAAGAAAATAATTAATAAAAAAATAAAAATTATACTGCCTTTGTGGAATAAAATAGTGGAAAAATAAAAAGTAGCTAGACGCTATGCGACTTCTCTGACATTTAGAAACAGTATAGCCGGACTTTTTCGTTATTATTCACTTGGGTTCCGAGTTGAACATCAAGCTTCGACACCACATCTCCATTTAACTACCCTGTTCTCTGCTGACGTGTCTTTTACAATTGACCTGAAGAGTGACCATCAACTTTCGTTTCCTCCGCATTGAATGTCATCATCATCGGACAACGCCCACCCAATTCGTCGTTTCCCAAGTGGAGTTCCACTAGAGGGTCTCTCTCTCTCTAGAGACTATAAAATGTCACTCAACGATCTTCGTAGCGTGCGTCCAATCCAGTTCCATTTGCCATTGCCTCTTCGCGAATTGGGCAACAGGTTCTTGGTTGGTTCCTTGATGCTAATGCTTCCCGGCTGGCGACGTACTAAACTCAGTATTCACAGTGAGTGAAGGAACCTATTGATTAAAGCTTGCGGAATGTTGTAAATCCTTCAGATATAACGTTCCATCCACGTCTCTAAGTTCACTGACTTGAAAATCCGAAACTTGTTTCTAAGGGGCTGAGTGCAGTAGATTTACAACACTGATTTCAAAGTAATGAACGTTTGTCTTGCTTTGCCCGCCTTCGACATCCTTACCCGTGCCGACTGCCTGTACTTGAAACAATGACGCCTAGATAATAAATGAGAGAAGTGACCTCCTGCAATATTTTGGTGATACTGCCACCTGACTATCTAAACTTCAGTAGGTTGGAGCGAGCGAGACTTGAACTCCTGACGCATCTACTGGTTGGAAGTCAGTCACCTGTTGTTATATATGAGTGACTGACTGGTTTCAACACAGAGCTTTGTAAAGAAGTGCAAAAGTTCGACTTGCCACACCATAAAGCACACAAACGAAGGTAAGAGAAAAAAAGATGATTCCGAAGAACGACAATATCCAGAAATGTGAAGAAGAAAGAATAAGAACATGGAAAAACAATAAGGTTACATGAATATGGGAAATCTCATTGAGAATGATTATGAGCCAAATATCTGTACCCATTGGCTTTTAGTATCTCGAGGACCTCCCTACATGGCTGACTCAAACTAACTGTTAAAGATTTCATGGACTGCTGTCATCTTTTGGTTTGCCCATCATTAGCTCTTTTACAACCACATTCTGCTTATGTCAGTTAACATTTTCTGTCGAGGAAGACGATGGGGCTAAGCATCCATATAACACATGTCCTAGCCATCTCAATCGATGTAGCTTCACAACCTGGTCGATTGACTTTCCCTCCTTACCTATAACTCGATGCCTTACCTTCATACTACTCAGTCTATTGTACCGCGTGACACGGTAGACAGAACTCAGACACCTATGATCAAAGACCACTAGCCTTTCATATCCTTCACAACCATAAAGGAGGACGAAGCGAACTGCTGAGCCGTACACACGTCTCTTGACCAACAACTAGCCGGATATCACGTCTACGTTATCGATGAATTAATTAAAAGAAATCCCACACGAATCTTTTGTATCCGGGCTGAGATTTCGTCAGTAGTTAGTCGGTTGTAGGCTCTGCCACTTCACTTCACTCTCTATCTTTAAGTTAAGAGAGTCGGTGTAGTCCAGTGGAGTCCTGTAACATCATAGTCTTACATTCGAACAGGAGCAAATCGCATGCCCAAACATTTGTGGACTGTTGGTCAACAGAGTGAAGGTCTAAGGAACACTGATTTCATACCTTATCACGTACATTCATATGAACTGTGATCAAGATTTGACCGAATAGTTAGTTGCAAAATAATTGACGGCGCCGAGTGAGAAGTAGACATTTGTAAAAAAATAAAGAAATTATATTTGTAAAATCTGGAATTAATCATTTTAATTTCGCTGAGATTTTACAAATATTTTATTGTTTTTTTATCACGTACATGTTACATAATTTTACGTGTTTCAATGACCATTAAACACCGCCTAGTCATGAGTCTCTTTGGTAAGTGTGAATAGAACGATGGACAACTAAATACCTGGGGGTCATACAACAACAACAACAAGAGTAGCTTGGAAAAGTAGCTTTCATCATTAAGACACCATTATGTGTTTTTGTTAAAACTCTGGACGAAGAAACAGAACATTCACTAACTTAGTATTATATATATATATATGTATTATACACGTCAAGAATGTGTAACAACTATAAGGCTGCCAAATATTTGCAATCAGTTGACCCATTTACATATTATACACACAAATATTTTACATTTTAACATAAACACTTTGTATAACAGTGTAATTAATGAATGATGATGACTGGAATGTAACAAGTAAACTGATAATAATGCAAACGCAAAAAAAATACAGCGAAATTGTAACACAATGACTACACGGCTATATATAATAAGGATTAAATGAAATAAAGAATACACACTAATAATTCACAGAGTGAATTATACAATAATAATACTAAGAATAATAATTTCCAACAATTAGAGAACCAGCCAGGTAGTACTGCATGGCAGTTTCATCCTGGCACTTGAGACTCTTCATCAGTATGCACTCACCACCACCAAGGCTCGAACTCAGGAGCCTCTGGTTGCAAGGCGAGCGAGCGAGCGAGCACGTAGGCTATTAGGCCACTGGGACCCAATGAATTCTAACTCCTGCCAATTCACGACACAGCGTGAAGACTAGCCAATGCCATCGGTGGCGAGTATTTGATCCCAATCCCGAATACACCCAGTAGAACCCACTAGCAGGTTGGGTGTAAGGACAAATACTCACCGATGACATGGGTTAGTATTCGGAATATGTCGTGAACTGGCAGCGGTTGGAATTTATAGGCTGGCCACTACTGGATTGGGTCCCAGTGGCCCGCTCACCTTGCTAATTTTCTCGCTGGCACAACGGTAGAATGCTTGACAACCACTCAGGTGGTCTGGGGTTCGATCACCGGTCGATGCACTCCTTTACCTTCCTTCCCTAAACCAGTAATAAGACTGGTAAAGAGGGGAGGTTGGGAATGAGGTTAGCAACCGCATCCCGTAAAAATAAATACCACTGCTATCGAAACTTGAAAGCTCCGGCTTGAAGCCCTATGTTCCACTGGGAACGTAAAGGAATAAAAACAAATTCTCTCTATACATTTGATCTTCAATATTGGAGCCGGAGAAGGCGGGTGCTGAGAGAAGTCTGCAGTAGCCTGTTGGAAGCGCTTTTCATGACACATACGCCAAGTTTCTGACACGTACAAAAGCACTAACAGACTTAACATTGGTGGTGAATACCCGAATCTTGTTCTTTATGCTGTATAGATAAAATTTCAAAATTGATTTCAGAGTAGTGAAGGTATACGCCTAGCCTTTTCAATCCACCCTGGTTTAAACATCCTCATCCATTACACCTTCGTTTTATTTGCATTCACTTCAAGTCCTGTATACTTTGCCAACCTCTTCTGACAACCTGCTGGTTTTCGCCTATAAATCTTCGAGTTTACGTGACATCAGGCATTAGTCCAACGTATTTCTGTCTCCTGGCCACTCACCACCACCATCACCACAGCGTGCCAGCCAGATAATCCAGTCCACCGCAATCAGGAATTTCATCGTGCGTGATGGTGGTCAGCCGCCTTGCCTTGCTCTTGGTATTCACCTCTCGAAGTTGGGAATGGTATTGTGATTTAACAAGATACAAGAAAAGTGTATTGTAAAAACACATTAAACTGACAATTGAAACTTACATTTTTATGCAACGGCGTTTCTTTAAAATGTTTATCCATTGCATGTGCACCTTCCAACAATTTAATGAAATTGTCCATGCCTTAACGGAAAGAAAGGAATCAATCAAAGTGAGAGAAAATACTTGTGTCAAAATAGAAGATATCTACAAAAAGTCAACAAACAGAGAACTTAACATAGGCAGAATAAAATCGATATGAAAGTTAACTGGGAATGCATTTCCCTAATTACTTCGTCTATAACCATCTTACGATCAGATATTCACTACTGACTGACTGGTGCTGAACATAGAACTTAGCACAAATGTGCACCGGCAGTACGAGTTGCCACACACCGGTAGACAAAAGAGAAGAAAGAAGAGATTCAAAAGAACACTGATAAGCAGAAATGTGAGAGAGAAAACACACGAAAAACACGAAAACACAATAGCGTTTTATCGGATAAAGGAGATCACAGAGAGTGAATACATCTGCACTGCCATTGAGTACGATTTTGAGCCATATCACCAACAGTTTCCAGCTGTCGGTTCTTGGAATCCCGAGGACGCCAATCAATGAGGAAGTCTACACCTCCCTACATGACTGACGCCGACCAAGTGTTAAAGATTTTTTATCAAGTGATTTCAAGTCTTGGTTTGAACAGCTGATCCTGTGTCAGCTAACATTTCTCGTTGAGGAAGACAATGGCGTAGCATGCGCATCACATGTCCTAGCCATCTCAGTCAATGTAGCCTCACAACCTCATCGATTTATTTTCCCTCCTTACTTAACACTCAACGCCGAACAGACTGACTACTGCTGAATTCAAAGTAAAACGGTTTGACCAACAAAGGAGAGAAGTTATCTACATATCTTGGAGTGACCTAATGAGATGGCAAGCAGACAGATTGGTGTATCTTAGTCTGAACAAACAAAGATCGCGGAAAGTGAATCCACGTTTTTAAATGTAAGCATTGGTTTCTTATTTAGAAATGTATCACTAGTATAAACTATCTGTTATCTGTGTGATTACATCGATCTAAAAAGTATGAACATTGGATTGCCAACAAACTATTTAAAGCAGCTATTATTGAGGTGCACGCTTAATGTGCAATTTAGGTTTATTTAAACACAGAAGACTTGATACAATATGGCACCAAGAAGATGCGCCACACAATAATAATAAAACAACATAGATTTAAAGTAAAAAAATATGGATGGAGAACGGAAAAAAAACTTCATCTGCAAGGAAAACAGTCATGTTTAACAAGTTCAAACAGTATTCGTTAACTATTATCAGGAAGGGAAGAAAGAAGGAATATGCAACACGTTCGCCATTGATTACGATTCTTGGTCATATCCGATAACGTTTCGAGCCATCGATTCGAACTATCTAGCGGACCCCAACCAGGGAGTCGTGACGCACCAACCAATGCTAATCTAGCACAAAAATCCTTCATCCCACGACACCACGTCAGGGACTGACTACCCCTCCGCCTTTTCCATCCCATTTCAGGGCTAGCGAACAGGGTCCTGTACGGAAGTTTCTGGGATGACATTCGCAGCACATATCCAAGCCACCGGAGCCGGTGTTTCCAGATGACGACACTCAATGAATGGTGATCTCCACTGTGCTCAAACACACGCCGCCGAACCTCAGAATTACTCACGCGATGATGCCATCGAACGCAAGCAATCCTGCGGAGACAGCGATGATCGAACACGCAGAGTCGCCGCACATCCTCAGCTCGGAGAGGCCAGGTCTCACAGGCGTAGAACAAGACAGCCCGCACCGAAGCATTGTATACCCGACCTTTGACAGCCAGGCTAACGTCGCGACGGAGCCAGAGGTGGCTGAAGTTGATGTATACCGCCCTAGCCTTCATGATACTGTTGGAAATCTTATCCGTCATTTCGTAGTTTCTCTACAATCACTTTACAACTAGTATGGCTCACAATAATAAAATAAAAGGCATGGCAATTACTCCGTTATATAAAACAATCGTACATAATGATGACCAATCATATTTAAAAAGGTCAAGTAGCCGATAGTAGGCGAAGATTGAAGTCTATTGTTTTTTGTACACAGTTTATGATTTATGTGATCAATCCAAAGCGCTTCCATCACCTTTAATAACCAACCTTGAATTAGAGTTATGTGAAGAAAAAATTGATTCTGTGGCCTGACATTAATAAGTGCTTTGCAATGGATGATGATGGATTTCTATTCAGATTAATTGCATTGCGATTTTCTAGGTGTCTTAATAACCATTTTGGAACATGTTCTTTTCGATAACACTGGGACATTCTATTGCTTCTACCTATATAAGTGTCCCCACAACTGCAGGTGAACTTGTAGATACAGTTCGAAGTAGTCTACAGAATTTCGTCCTTTAATCCTAGGTACGGGGGGCAAAAATGTTCGAGATGTGAGGGAAAGAGATGAGGCGTAGAATGTGCGCTTGATATCTGACCGAAGTCTTTGAGCTGTCAACTGCATAATTTGATCACCCTTGAATGGTAGGTTAATAAAGATAACTTTCTTTGGTACAGAAGCTGTCTTTTCAAGATGTGGTCTATGTTTACTGTGACAATTGATAAAGTTTTCTGGATAACCACTAGCCAATAAAACTAAATGTATGTGTCGAAGCTCATCTATCAAATGTGTCACTAGTGCATATTTTGCCAGCCCTTGAAAACAAACATTTCACTAGGGAGCGTTTATACTGGATAGGAACAAAACTGGTGAATTGAAGATATTGTCCACTGCATGTCTGCTTACGAACGCCTAATCGTTCCACCGTCTTTCCTAGTCATTGAAATATCCAAGAAACCGAGTTTGTTATTCGAATCGAATTAGGAAGTCACTCGGATATTTGGACGAATATGAATAAACAGAGTAATCAAGTTTTCAATAGACTTATTATTAATACTACCAATAATGAGAGTATCACCCACATAACGTTTATGCTCTATGCATAAATTTGCCTAGCATACCTCGCATTTGTTTTTCCAATTTCGACATGAATATATCTGCTAACAGGGGCCCCCATCAATTTGTTTGTATACCTTTTCTTGGAATGTGAATCGGACATTTTCTGTACATGTTAAGATAATGTCTCTAATGTAATTTCTTCTCAATAATTTAATAATTCCCATTGTAGTATTAAGAAAACAATATTCAGCGAAGAGACTCTTGTCAACAAAGAATTTATTTTCAAGCTGTTCAATCACATACATATATATGGTTTTTAAGAAATCATATCATGTGAGGGAATTAGATCAAAAGTGTAAACACATGAAATGATAATAATGGTATGAAATGCAATTGAATTAAATTAATTTTGATTGCATTTCATACTACCACTATTATTATTTCATGTGTTCACAGTTTTGACCTAATTCCCTGACCGGATATAATTTCTTGAAAACCATGTATAAACACGACTACACAGCTTGATAATATATTCGTTGAAAAGAGTTCTCTTCGCTGAATATTGTTCTAATTAATGTAAGTGACAAGAATGAGTAATTGTATCCCATTGCTTGTAGTTTAATCACAAATGAACCATGCTAGTTGTAAAGCGATTAATTGCAGAGAAACTACGAAATGAAGATATCATCTCAGGGAATTTGTCGTCTAAATGCCTTATTCATATTAATTATCTTTATTCTCATCATATGTGTATTTTGACTGAGCAATTTCTATTCTAGTGCCATTTAATGCCTTTTTCCGTAATATCAATACGACTGCTGTACAGCTGGTTGAAAATGAAGCCGCCTTTGAAGAGGAGTAGTACTTCTTCGGCCAAAAAAAAGAAAAATAACTGTGTTTCTCCTTACGAATGTGAGAACTAACGAAACGGCAGTCTTGACAATTTTAGCCCATAAATCCCTTAAGCTCCTACACTTATTTACACTTTTTAAGAAATTAGGAATGAGAATTATTTAAATAAGTGAGTGAATGAATTAATAAACCACCACCCCCACACCCAAAAAAGACCATTCATTACACATACTGATCGATTTTTTCAGTCCGTCACGTGATTTATTTCAACTGAAGTACATCAGTGCAATAGAGAATGGCAGAAATGGATTTTCTGCTTAAGTACATTGCGCAGTAGCTTAAAAAAGTTGTAATTTTGTGAAATAGTAGAATTTTATTCACTTACAACACATATGTGGTGGATGGTATATGCTGGTCAACAATCCTTCATCAATATCAAAATGTTACACATGTTTATAAATTTTCCTGATTTCAGTGGTGAAGGCGTTGACAAGTTACCATGGAACAGTCCCGTCGACTTAGAGTATGCGGATAATACAGTCCTCTCCTAGGTGAAGACGCTGACAAAACGCCGAGTCTTCATAACACCCTGACTAGAAATGCACGCCCCTGTCAAATGTAAGATGATACTGCAGGATTGGACTATACTGACTCCTGGCTTAAAGATAGGAAGTGATTTGATTGAGCATATTGACTACTCCGCTTACTTAAGAAGTTGCATCAGCCCCAACAGACTGATTGCTAACGAAATCTCAACACGGCTACAAAATGCTCGAGTACCGTTTGCCAAGTTATGTCACCTCTGGTGTAGACGTGATATCCTGATATCGATCAGAGGAAGTGTGTACTGCTCAGAAGTTCACTTTGTTATTCTTTACGGGTGTGAGACATGGCCACTGAAAGCAGATGTGAAGGAGTTGTTTGCGACCTATTTCCCATTGTGGTGAGAGCTGGCTACTAGCCAAAGTTGGTAGACAGTAATTGACGTCAATGTTTATGTCCCCAATATTGGTGGTGAGAAAATGATGAGAACAAAGGCTTTGCGTAGGTGGACACAGTTAGCATATGGGTGATCTGACACAGCCACAAAGAGATGCAAGGTTAACTTTCTGTGAGAAACAACCAATCAAAAGACTGTATTTTCTACTAACAATAATCTACAATAATGTACATTGAAATCTATAAATATGTGTTGATTTTCCTTAATAAACCATCTGTTGCCTGCCCTTGTCTTCTGTTGTTACAACATGTTAAATGGCATGATATGGCGAGTACAATCGAGGTTATGCCTAATAGTGCTAGGTAAAGAGTAGAAGTCAATCGGCAAAGAATGTGAAGCTACATCGACGAGATGTCAACGACACACGTGTCACGCATTTCGAGTTACCGCCTTTCTCCACTATCAATATTAAGAGAAGAGTTAGGGGTGGCAACCCCAAAACATGGCATTATTCGATGAAGTCTTTAACAACAGTTGATTTCAGACACACAGGGCGGAGGCGACTGTCTGGTTGGGGTCTTCGTGATTTTAGAAATCAATGGCTGGAGAGTGTTAGGCTGGTGGCATAGAACCACTCTCAATAGCGCAAATGCATTCGTTGTCTGTGATCTCTCAAGATCTATCAAAATTTTGACGTTTTTCCATGTTACCCCTCTCCTTCTCCCGTACATTTCTCCCCATTTGTATCTCTTCTTTCTCTCTTTGTGCGCTACATGGAGTGTGGCGACTTGAGCTACCGCAGTTGTATGCAAAGTCCTATGCTGAAACTCAGTCAAACAGTCAGTCATTCTACTGATTGACTAAGCAATCAGAATCATTTGTTCGGACAAAATCTATAAAGTATAGGTGAAATAACAGTTGTTTTTTTTATTCCTGTCAGTTCCCAGCGGAACATAGGGCTTCAGCAGCAGTGGTGTTTATTTTCAAGGGATGGGATTGCTGGCCGCATGTCCAGCTTTCCCTCTTTACCAGTCTTATTGCTGACTTAGCGAGGTAAAGGAGTGCTTCTGCCGGGAATCGAACCCCGAAATAAGAGTTGAGAAGCACCAAATAAAACTTTTTTGAAAAGGGAACGACGAAATCAGCTGTTTAGTGGCGTCTATAATTAAAAACTGTTCAATTTTTGATCGAAAATCTTCTACAACCCTCACAGGCTCTCCTAGAATTTACCGAACCTGCTGATGAAATAAATTATTAAAGTGTATAATACACTAATCATAGGTTGGGGCCATTAGTGGTATGTTCTGGAAGTGAAATATGTAGCTGCTATACTTTATTTAGGCTCGTGTGACATTTACCAACTTAAACAATCTCTGGCCTATACCTGATACCCAGCTATCGATTAAAGAATGTGTGTACTGCGATCAAACTCACTCTGTCCTTCTTTATGGGGCTGTGAAACATGGTCATTGAAGGTGAAAGATTTGAAAAGGTTAGCTAGGTGTCTTTGATCGTAGAAGTCTCCATTCAATCTTTTGCGCTATATGATATAATAGGAGGGGTAATATCGAGGTTAGGCATCGAGTATTAAGTAAGGAGGAAAAATCAATCGACCAGGTTGTGAAGCTACATCGAGTGAGACGGCTAGGACATGTGTTACTCATTCCCGGTCATTAACTTCCTCGACGGAAGGTGTTAGCTGACGCAAGATGAGGTTGGAAAAGAGCTAGTGGTGGTCAAACGAAAACTATCGAAATTTTTAGTTTGAGCAAGTCACGTAGGAAAGTGTTGTCTTACTGGCTGGGGTCATCAGGATACTGAGAATCAATGGCTCGAAATCACTGTCAGTGGCGCAGATGCATTAACTCCTTGCGATCTGTTCTATTCCTTTTTCCCCCACATTTCTGCTTACTATTGTTCTTTCGCATGCCTTTTTTCTCCCATCATGTGGTACATGGAGTGTGGCAGCTCGAACTGCCGGTGCACATTTGTGCACTTCATGAACCTGACAAGAAATTCCTAACACAAATACATATTATCATCAAGTATAGGTTTGCAGGAATTTGATTGGTTATAGGTTTGAAGTCGTAATCAGTAGGGAACCACCAAGTCTGTTAAGAGGAAAGTTACCCGTTCATAACATCGGCTGGAGGTTGCGTTATATACCTATATATGTCACGAATTTGCAGAATTTGGAATTTCTGGGCCATGAGATTGGCTTGTCCCAGTGACTGAATGGTCTAAAAGATAGGCTTGTAACCGGAAGCTGCCGGGTTTGAACCCCAGTGGAAGCGTACTGTGAGTAGTCCTAAACTGGGACAAAACAGCAGTCCCAATACTCCCTGACTGGTCTTCCAATGGTTCTCTACTATCGTGATTACACCTTTAAAGAAATACACATATATAAAAAAGAAATAACACCATGTAACTCACCTACGTAAAGTGCTATTGATAGACCGATTGCTGACCATAAGGAGTAACGACCGCCAACCCACTGTGATCAAAAGTAATTAATCAACACAGAAAAATTCGAAATTATTGCTTGTTTTTATTAAATTTTGTGGAAAAATACAATAACGTAATAATTGAAACAGGTAGTATTTGAAAAACAGGGAGGGTTATGCTCATAACTAAAGACATCTTACTTTTGGTGACAAAAGTACCCACTAACTATAGGATACCGGGATAATCAAGACAATAGCGCTCCCAGACACAGTCTAACGCTAGTTATTAAAGAGCTTCTTATATTTTTACACGCATCTGTGGGAGGAGTTACATTGGGAGAACAGAAAGAAGGGTATACCTCAGATTCTATGAATATATACCAAAACGTTTACGTCTCAAGCGGAAAAGTGCTTTAAACAGTACTATTACCAGACATTTTGTTTTTACGGCTTATTAGGTGGACAGTGTGAAATCCTTCGATATTATTAATAGACAGTATAACCTCAACTCTCCTCAAATTTGTCCAAACAATCGCTATTAAACGTTTAAAACCTGACTTAGGTGTTCAGAAAGACTCATTTGATAGTCTTTCCTTGCCTTGTTGACCCCACCGTCTAGTCTCTTCGTCCCAAATGATTACACAATCTTTTGTTTTTGTCCCCCCCCCCATCTTCTTTTGCTTTGGTGGAGAATTCAGTTCTTTTTGTATTCTATAACCTGAGTTAAACTCACCACATTATTACTGATTATCCTGTTTTGACTGTACAACTTAATTTTCAATGTGTATCCGACCATTAATTTTGCATGTCTGTATTTTGTTTGAACCTCGACCTCCTTCAAGTGGAACTTTTGGACATTGTTTATTAACATGTGTATCCGTTAACAAAAGCCATGTTGAGCCTTGCAAGTATGACAAAATTCTGTGTACATCTACACAATTAACTTAATCATGATAATAATAATAATAATAATAATAATAATAATAATAATAATAGCTTGATTATTCTTGTTATCACAGATCGCTCCACTTTTTCATCTTCAATATTGACAGAATTGTCCTCTAACCTATAACCGATCAAATCCCTGCAAACCAACACTTAACAATTGGTAGAATTATTATTATTATTATTATTATTATGACTAATTCCACAATTTATATGCACAATCTTATCATCCGATTGACAAAACACCGTGGTTGGTTTATATTTTAATATTTATTAGTAAAGTTATGTAGGTATATTAGAGTTAAGCCTGATGAGATCTAATTTGAAAATAATACTGTTCGCTTAAATGCGTTGTTCTAAATTTTACTATGGCAATATTGAATATTTTGAGATATTTCACAAGGTATCGAAAAGTAACGATTAAGAATTGTCTGTTACACATCAGGGAAACATGACTACAAAATCATTCATTCTCCATTGTCTTAAACATTTTCTACTTATCATAGGCTCTCCTTTGGCATCACTTTAATATCGTCTTCGGCTTTACTATCTCTTCTTGTGTTAATTTAAATGACGACAGTTTGAAATGTCACTCTTTTGTGCAAAACTTGTCTAAGTGAATGTAAAATAAAATTTTTTTTTCCACACCAATTTTAATTCTTTTACTAGAAACTTCGAAATCTGTAGGCTATACATCAGAGGAGAGAAGCTATTGAATAATAATAATAATGGCCTTAGAGCTTCTGACGTCTTTCCCACAAGGCTGAACAATGCAAAGATGTCTTTGCCAAACAAAAAATAAAAATATACATCTACTTTGCGGACCAATCTGAACAAACAATAATCGTTAAAACAAGCGGAAAGCAATGCTAAAAGAGAATTCTGTAAACTTAAAAAGAAGTTTGGCCTTTTGAGAAATACTTACATCCCAAAACTCGAACATATTTTCTGGTGCTATGCCGAACGCTCGGACATCTTTGGTATTAGTTGACAAGGCGACAAAATGTTTGGCGACATGGGATACCTAGGAAAAATGAACAAAATAATTATTCAACTCTTTGTTATATCACTGGAAAAATTAGCTTTATTTTATGAGGTGTAAACCTACTCTAGATAAAGAATGAAAATGCCCGCTAACTACGTCGTCATTAGATAAAAAAATCTGTATTACAATGAATTTACAAATGGCATTAGAATAAGCAGTTTTATGCACTAATAACTCACATCTTTAGCATGTTCCAAGAACCACTGTTTGGCAGAATTGGCATTAGTCATCGTTTCAATAGTAGTGAAAGTCTGTAAATTAAAAATTAAAAATAAAAGATACTGTATAGTAATAACATAGAAAAGTATTTGTGGTTTAACTTGAAACACTAGTAAACAGCATGAAAAAATGTCAGTCCGACAGGAAGATATTTTAGTTGTAATTAATTAGACTCCAAGGAAGTAAAGCCATATAAAGTGGATTTAAGCTACATTGTTTACTATCTAGAATTACAAACCCCTAACTTTAATCGTAAAAGCAACATACGGTGGCATTATCATACATTAAGCTGCTTGCTGTAATCATTTTTATTCTCCACATGAAGTTTGAAATGGAAAACCGGGAGCACAAGTCGAACAGATCTCTAATACACCGTTTAAGGTTAAATCCTGTTGTTTTGTTCCGTGGGAAGTAACACTTGGTTTGTTGATGAGCATAAAGTGAGTAGTCTACGTTTATTCAAGTAAAAGTTTAGGTAAAATACAGCAGATAACATGCATAAGTATGTGTGGGTGTGTGCCGACTTCACCAAAAATTCAAGAAACAAATAAAATTTACAGTTTTGGACATTTCTTGGATATGTGGTGCCAAAACAACTGTGAGGCATTATTACCTCATACATTTTAATTAGGACAGCTGACGAAAAGTGGGAAGAAGCAATTTCATAGTCTTCTAACTTGATCTGCTACAGTCAAGTAACTGAATAAAATAAGGATTCACTGACGAGGAATTGTTGTCAGCAGCAACACAAAATTCATCTAAGACTTAGAAATGTACTTCGTCACATTCAAACTTTGTGATTTCTACACATAAGTATTTAGACTCAAAATAGGTGTTAGCAAGGATTATTCTGGTTGCACAGGTTACAACAAATTAGTAAACTGTATCCACTTGTATAACACTGGAACAACTAAGTATGAGTATATGCCAAAATCTCTGTGAACAAACCGATGTAACAGTTCCTTTTGAAAAAAGAATGTCAGTGGTAACATAAAAATCTACCTTATAAAATACAAGTATTAAAATACACATATTGCATACCTTGGAGGCAATGATAAACAAAGCTGTCTCCGGATCCAATTTTTTTAACGTTTCTGCAATATGTGTTCCATCTATGTTTGAAACAAAGTGTACTCGGATATGTGAAGCGTAAGGTCTTAAACATTCAGTAACCATAACGGGCCCCTGAAAAATAAGGTTACAAATGACAGATTGTTTTTTGCATATACAGTTTAATTTTAAGAAACTTTAGTTACATCAAAAGCTACGAAGTTTGAAAAACAGTAAGCATCTGTGAAATGACTTATTACACCGTCGACTACGTACATGACAACATAACAATGCTACATAATTAGTTTGTAGGCAATTGAGACTTGTGGTTGAGTTACATTTCTCAATGATCACGGCACCTGACTTTCAACCACCCACCGAGATTTTGGCGACTAGGTAGTATTGTAGCGGCATAACAGTGGCACATAATAGCCGAAATGCTTATTTGATGGAGTGATATGGAACTGATGGCAAACTTCCCTCTGAAGTTCTGATTTGCAAAACTTCATAATATTCTGCTTCTTTCGTACTCTTTTCATGCCTTTTATATTGTTTCAAAAGGACCTTCATTTCCCCGTGTCGCAAATCAATCTGTTACTGTGCTATCAAGATTCTTGCAAATGTCACAAAAATACTACTTCCAAAAACACCACAAACCGTGGTATCATTAGCTCTCACAAGATAAGTGTGGCTCATTACAAATTGCATAGAATTAAGTTGAAAAACAAGAAGTTTCAGTGTGATTGACGGATTATTATTGGAACGACAAAACAATAAAGCATAAAAGAGACAAGGCTTTGGGCATAAATATCAAGTCCGATGCTGAGGCTCACAAATATTCTGAAAGTGAACCTGAATGCACCAGATGGGAGTTAAATACATATTTTGTTAATAAGTGGAAACAGTTACAGAATAGATTTGTATTATATGAACTGTAGTTACGGAAACAATAATGTATAATGACACCATTTTACTGTGTGGAATCTGATCTTCTTGTTCAAATAGCTTATTTAATTTGGCAGAATACCTTTCAGGCAAATTGCGTATCAGGAAAATGGAAAATTCATTCAATGTAACGGTTTCTAAAACACTTAGAAGCAACAAAGGTCAGGCAAATCCCAGTTGAAAGTCAGAATGAATCAACTAAATACAACTCAACTTACCAGATCTGAGCCTCCAATACCAATGTTAACAACATCCTTAATCGGCTTGCCTGTATATCCTTTCCATTCGCCAGATCTGACAGAGTTGCAAAATTTGGACATATGGTCGAGGACGGCATTTACTCCAGGCATAACCTAGTAAGAAATAGTTTTTGTGGTACAATGAGATTACGTCTTTTCCATCAACCATGATTGGCACATTTGAGCGATTTCGTAAAGCAATGTGCAGAACAGATCTATCCTCGGTAAAATTGATTTTCTTCCCCTCCATCATATCATCCCGCATTTTTTCTACATTACTATCCTTGGCCTGGAGAATATGAAATAGTTATATTGCTGAACAAACCAACTGAATTAACTGGTTAAAAGTATTGGTATCAATCAAATTTTTTGAATAGTCAAGGAGAATTGTTCCACCAGGAAGAGTGAAAACCTGACTGAGAACGTCATTGACTATAATATATATCATACCTGAATTCGGAAAATCTTTTTGGATTGGCAGCAAACATTTCTTTCATGGTATGTGGGACCTTTTTGAAACTTCGGATGAACTCATGTAGAGGTGACATGGTGACAGTAAGACGAATACGTGACCCAACCAAATAAGTAAAGTCAGCTTCAAGATAGCCGCTTTGAGTACCTTGAAGTTAATGAGTTCCAATATATTCACATGATTCATTTTCAGATTTTCTAACTAAAGGTAGAAGATTCGAACCTTGTGATGGTCTTCTTACATTAGGCTGAATTTTTCTTCATGAATCCATCAGACTCAGTAATAGTCACTCTTTCTCGAGTCAGTTTGAAGAGTGAGTAACTGATGGTTAGGGACCACTAGTTCACTAATATACTATTTTTTTCCGTTCTGATGTATTCTTTTTATTTGTCCTCTGATTTATTATGAGTAGAATGAAAAGAAGCCGATCAGGTTTACGACAATTATTTTGAGTTTATATTCATCACCATTAGGTATCCTTCTTTACAAAATGTTATAAGTGAATTTTTTGTCGAAATTCGTTCGCCAGTAAGAGCGTGTACAGAAGGGGTTAGGGAAGTTTAAAAGCATCAAAGTTGACACCTGTTATCAGCACATCAGTGTGAAATTTGATATGAAAAGCATACTAACGAACGAACCCGGAGAATCCATCCAAAAAATTAAGTCAGATAGCCTTATACTCACTACATCTCATAAGGGCATTTTTGTTGTCAATATAGGTAACTCTGTTGGTAATGTGAACTCTTTGTTTCATTGTCCTCGGAATTTAGGAAGGTGACTGGCTGCAAACATTTAGACGGAGCTATGGAACGTCAGTGTGTTAAGCCTTTGAAGTCAACAAAAGAAGAGAATTTATTTAGGATGCTCATATTCAACACTAACATATCCACGGGAACTCATGTACGTAGGCTTTATGGTTAGCCGAAGTTCGGTGAATAGGAAGTTACTCTACATCCCACTCCGGACACGTCAGCCCACCATACCACTTAACTGCTGCATGGCTAGTAAATTTACTAGAGTATCTGCACTGAGAATTAGCCCAAAATGTTACAAGCAATGCTTTCACCTCCGTTGACAACGAAAAAACAGTGTTATCTTTAGACGTGACGCTATTATTTCCCCATGTTTCCCCTGTGGAAACTGAACCATGTATGTGAACAAGCTGTAGAAACAAAAATAATTATTTGAATGACACCTGTAGATTTGAAAAAGGTTCCTAGAAAGTGCTGTGAGTGCTTACATGGTGTCTGACCGAATGTTCTACTGACAAATAGGCAGCATCGAAAAAGGTTCCTCTTTGGTCTCGCATTATAGTTAACATTTTCCTGAAAAGTTGGAAATTGGTCCTCTGAGACAAATTCGGAGTAAATCCTAGTGTGTAGGAGATTCATTTACGTTTGTGCTAGGAATTTATGCAAACGAGATCTAATGCAAACCTCATTAGTATTCATCTGGAAATTAAATTCAATTGCGCTAAAGAACATCAAGGTAGCATTTCGAATTTTGGTGCTCTTGCCATTTAAGGGATGATAATAATAATTTTATATTTTCATATAAACATAAATTTACATGAAAATGCATGCCATTTTTACAGGCACGGTCAAGTATGATATAATGTCAAATAGTAGATTGTCTACAAGTTAGTAATGTTTGAACAGTTAAATATTTGATATATATATATAAATACATTCTTTTTCTGACCCATGTCGTATAATTTTCGAATTGTACAGCAGTCCCCAGGTTGCGCAGGAAAATCGACTTCGTTTCGTTTACAACCCGTAGTTGTAAGCATACGATAACCAACCAATATTGAGGTAAGTTCAACGTTTACAAGGGATAGTAAGCTGTTTTAGAAAAGGAAAGGTGCTAAGGTGAATCATTAAAGTGTAATGAAATAGGTAAATGCAATGTATCATTAACAGATGCATTCATAAAGGAAATACAATGGGAAACTATAATCCCTAGGCTGACAAAGTTCCTTTGCAATGTATAATGCTACCCTATATGTTTTACTATCATGTTGTCCACTTTTGGTTTAATACAATTATCCGGTTGTTTTAATTTTTTTGTGTTTGGTGCACAACCGTACCCTATAGATAATAGGAATAAAATAAGTCGAATCAAATTCATAAAGAGCTATAAAATGTTAGGTTTAGTGGAATATAATGAGCAAGTGAAGACGTTATTAGAAAATGTATGAGATGAGACCTTGTTAAGTGATATTCGAAGATACGACAAAGGAAAGCATGTTAATTTATAAGATGCCCCATAAATCTGTGCAGAGCCCACGTGGTCGCATCTCAGCAATAGGCTGACCGAATGGTATATGTTTAAAGGTAGAAGCATGATCTGTCCGGGCGATCATTATTATCTTATTCAAGATAAAGATTCAAGCCCTCATAGAAATCTCGAGCCATCAAATTGCATATTGCTGTTCCTGGAGAATGGGGCGATTCACCTTAGTGTCCACCACCATATCTACTGATCAGCATGCGCCACCCTCCCTCCTTCTGTAAAAGCAAACCATACAAATGGACAAGATAATCAAGAGAAACATCTTCAGGAGACCTGAGTGGAATGGACAATGCATTAACCTTCATGGTTTTATATACTAACGGCACAATTCGTTATCTTTGTCATTCAACTAGACACAGACATACCGATGATTGCACTAAAGATGGGGTAGAAAACTTGAAAATTACCCTGTTAAAAATGGTCAACAACCAATTTTGTAGAGAAGTATATGTCCTTAAAGAAGATAAAATAATGCAGGGTACTGTGATGAAAAGCTTTACTTAAGACTGAAGTTCAATTGTGACATGTAATATAATGCGTCCCAGAATGATCGAATCTATTGGAAGAATTTCCACTGCTGCAGCACTACATATCTGTCTCTTCACTAACACTTTGCATTAGAGATAAGTTGCCAGAGACGGCAAAACCAATGTGTGTAAACATTTCGTCGCTCCAGCAGAGATAGTTAAATAGGCCGTACTCAGAGGAATTTACCACTATGCGCTGATTAACACGTAACAGTTTGGCTTGGAAGAGGCTTAACCGAATCAATAAATGACTGACCGGTTTCAACACAGAATCTGCAAAGATGTGCATCAGTTCAAGTTGCCACACTCCATGCAGCACACAAAGCAAAATAAGGAAGTAAAGACAGATTCAAAAGAGAGATAATAAACAGAAGTGTGAGGCAAAAAGAACAGTAATAGGGCAGAAAAACAGAAATTTAATTAGACATATAAATCACACAGAGTGAATGCACCTACGCTATCACTGACTGAGATCGATTCCGAGCCACATCACCAATTGTCTCCTACCATTCTCTGTAGGCTCTCACCTGGCTGCATGAGTTCGAGCAAATTGCCTTTATCAGTGCAGTGTATTTTCTCTGCATTCCCTTCACAGCCAAACATCGCCGTAATACCACTCGGTCGATGGCATCGAATGCCGCCTTCAGATCTAGAAATATGACGATAGCTGGATGCCTGTAAGTATGCCTATTTTCCGTTCCATAATCTGTCGAAGGGTGAAGATGTGCTCAACACACCCTCTTCCTGGTTTAGAGCCTGCCTGGTTCTTTGGTGTTTGTTCCCCCGGAGTACCGCTTATTCTACGCATGATAATTGAGCCTACAACTTTAAGTACCATATTGGTCAAGCTAGTCCCCTCGCCATAATCACAGGAAGACTTTTTCCCCTTCATTATGGATAAAATTTTATTTTGGTAAAATCACAGTGTTATACAGTAGTATTTACTGATGACCACGTTTCGAGAACAATTTATTGCTGCTCATAATCATATCATGTTACTCACACAACTTTCTTACTTCATTTACATACACTCATATATAATGGAGTTATACTCTATCACAGTGCATAGATTTCATCCTCATATCAATAATACTTTTCTCCCTTCTTGGATAACGGGAAAATCAATGACTTACAGCAGACCAACAGGAGTACCTCTGATTCCTAGACGCTACCTAATACCTCAGCTTTTTATTGCAGCTTGATGCCACACCGTATTTTCAGTACAAGCAGGGAATTTTCAGCATGGATATCGGTAGCCCAAATTTTATAATAATATAATAATAATTAATATACTGCCTATCTATGTAGGCCAACCATAGATATCGGGTGTGCGTCGGCAGGGGATCGAACCCCGAACAATGTGCATAGTCGGCGAGAGTCCTAAACACTGTGGCGGACAACAAACTGTCCCAACCATCTTTATACATCTCTGGAGTCATTCTACCAGGTCTTGCTGCTTCGCCTCATTTCAGACTAGTGGAAGCTTTTGTAACTTCGTTTAGGAACGGAGGGCCGGTGTTTATATACCATTCAGCAAGCTGTTGAATGCTGGTCAATTTGGGCATGGCTGTGTGCCAGTTAAATTGCTCCTGTCAGTGTTCTTTCAAACCTTCCGATTGCCTATTGTTATTGCCTCGTACAGTTTCTAGATGAACGTAGGGCTTTGAACGCACATCTCTGTTGCTTTCGGTTCTCTGCCAACGTTTTCACCTGGCTCCAATGACCAACCGTCTCTCCTCAGAGCTAACTGTGGCGCCAGTTTTCAGAGATTGTTTCATTTATCATTCGCCTTTCCTCATTCGGTTCCCTGCTAAGTCTAGATAGTTGTCTGGTATTACTTATCGCCTATTCCTTTACCATCTCTTTCGCTTCTATCGCCCATCATAGTTCATGATCGTTCTAGAGACTTCTCGCTAGTTTGCGTTTGAGCAGCTTCCACTCCTTATCATATTCAGAGCTTCCCGGAATCAGTCTTTATGCATTAATTAGTTTGGATGAGGTGGTAGAAGTCGACTGGCTCCTACTAATTTTGGTATTATGTTATTAACAGCCTTTGCGATAGTCCACATCTAACTGTATATTGTTCCAGGCTTTCTCAGGAAGGGTCTTCCTGTCAACCTCAGGGAATCAGTGTCCCGATCAACTTAGGTGAGTAACTGCTTCACTGCCAACGATATTTTATGTCCGTCTAACCGTAAGCATAGACTCGGTGAACCAGCCAGTGATCGGAGTCCATGAATGTGTTCCATAAGGATCGGTTTGCCAGGTCAGGCAATATC